GTTTGTATGTGTGTGTGTGTGTGTGTGTAAACACGATAACTTGAGTTCCCTTACAGCTAGTAAGTACAGCTTACGTTACAGCTATATAACTATTTTATCAAAATCGTAGATCCGTGTCTACATTTGAGCGATTTCCGATAATCGGAAGTGGAATTTTTTTTACTTTGAAATTTTCACGCATCGCTAAAAGCCTCAACTGAGTGGGAAACTCCCTAACCCCCCCCCCCCCCCCCACCATCCTGCACCAACACCTAGAAACCTGCATCTCCCTTCTGTCTCCCTTATATGTACGACTGCAACAATGCGGACGGGTACGCCATTTACGTATAAAACTTCTTTAACATTCGATGGAGAGTTTGATATCTATGATGGGATTTTTAAATCTGACTATTTGCATATTATGATGATGTTTTGAAACAAATTGTAAATATGTCTTTTGGCTCAGTAACTTGGCCAGCTAACAAGATCTCAAGAAGCTCAGTAATAATTTTGTAAACTTAAAAGCATGAAAAAGAAATCAAATCTAAATAAATTATGATACAATTTGAAAAAATTGTGCTTGGTTAGTTGTCACAAGGTCGGATGTCCCCCTAAGCGTTTACTGAAGGTGTAACTCCCACCCCTCCTCCCCTAAACAATTTTGTCACCCCTCTCTTCCTAATCTTTTAGTATTTTAACTTGATAAAACATTGTTTTGACGGTACATTTTACATTGTTTATCATGGTGTTACGACTAAATGACGTTACCCGATGTGAACAAAACCTTTGCCTTGTGACGGTGCAGTACATATTATTACAGTATAGTATAAATACACAATCAGGACGTATAACATACACACATTTACATTATTTAAAACTCCTCCCTCGTAAGTAGCAATCAAAGTTTCTTCCAACCATCTTTTTGGAAGGGGTGGAAGGAGGAGGCAGCCTCAATCCCCCGAAGAGAGACTACTCCCCCCACCCCCCGAACAAACTGGAATTTTTATAGAAAATATATACTTTTAACAGTGTCCCCCTCCCCCGGAAATTTTAGTCTGCCCCCCCCCCCCGAAAATAGTCTGGAAAAACACTGGTAGCAATAAATTTCTCATGTTTAATTCAGTTGTAGCCTAACGGCTGACGAAAGGGCCCATTGATAATTTTTGCACAGGGGCCAGAAAATCCTAGCTACGCCACTGAGTGTAAGGGACTTATTTTAATCGGGCGAACTTATAAATGCAGATTTATCAAAATTTCTGCGTTCTATGCGTAATCGAGTCGGAAAACTGGGCTTTGCTATTCTGTCTGTATGTCTGTGCGTGTATGTATGTGTGTATGTATTTGTGTGACTTTGAACACGTTGATCGGAAGTATTACTTTACTCTAAATCCAATTTCTCAAAAAAAAAGAAAAAAAAAGGCATATGAATTAATTAATACTAATAGTTTCGCTGTCTGTGTATCTATCTGTGTATCTATCTATCTGTCTCACAAGAACGCTCTAGAGAAAACACAAGCAAAATAAAAACATGCACAGTAATTCGAAAAACGAAGTATGACGCGGTCACATTTAGCATAGAGTAGAAAATAATCTCAAGCCTGAGAGTGCACACAGTAATATGACGTCATTGATTCTCGAGTAAACATTGAATAAAAAGAAAATTTTGTCTAATCTAAATGGTTTGCGTGAAGAGTTTCTTGAATACAATTCTTCGAGTAGGGGCGAAGTTCACCCCCCGCGTAAGAACGTCTGAGCCCCCCCCCCCCCCCTCCCCAACTCAAAAGAAATTTCTTCATCGATACTCTATAATAAAATTACCGCCTAATTAATGTGTCTAATCTAAAAAGTGGTTTTCTTGCAATTTCTTTAATGCAATTCTTCGGGTAGTGGCTAAGCGCGACACCAGTGTTTCTTTCAGACTTTTTCCTCCCCGGAGAGGGGTGGGGGTACTTGAAATTTTCGGGGGCGGGGGTAGAATTTTCGGGGAGGGGGGCGGACACTGGAAAAAGTATATAATTATATTTCGTTGAATGGGACGGTAGACATGATTTTTTTGGGAGTGGGGGGTGGGGGGTGGGTGGGGGGTGTGGGGGGGGGTGGGTGGGGTGGGGTGGTTTCCTCATCGATACTCTATAATAAAATTACCGCCTAATTATTGTGTCTAATCTAAAAAGTGGTTTTCTCGCAATTTCTTTAATGCAATTCTTCGCGTAGTGGCTAAGTGTGACATCAGTGTTTCTTTCAGACTTTTTCCTCCCCGGAGAGGGGTGGGGGGTACTTGAAATTTTCGGGGGCGGGGGTAGAATTTTCGGGGAGGGGGCGGACACTGGAAAAAGTATATAATTATATTTCGTTGAATGGGACGGTAGACATGTTTTTTTGGGGGGTGGGGGTGGGTGGGTGGGGGTGGGGTGGGGGGGGGTGGGGTGTGGGTGGGGGGGTGGTGTGTGGGGTGGGTGTGGGTGGGGGTGGGGGGTGGTGTGTGTGGGGGGGGGGGTGGGTTGGTTTTAGTTTAGAGAAAAGAGACAGCACTATCAACCTAGCACCCGGTGTATCCTTCCTCAACGGGCCATTTTTCTCGTAATACTAATAGTTTCGCTGTCTGTCTATCTGACAAGAACGCTCTGTCTGACAAGAACGCTCTAGAGAAAACACAAGCAAAATAAAAACATGCACAGTAATTCGAAAAACGAAGTATGACGCGGTCACATTTAGCATAGAGTAGAAAATAATCTCAAGCACACAGTGTGCACACAGTAATATGACGTCATTGATTCTCGAGTAAACATTGAATTAAAAAGGAAATTTTGTCTAATCTAAATGGTTTGCGTGAAGAGTTTCTTGCATACAATTCTTCGGGTAGGGGCGAAGCCCCACCCCCCGCGTAAGAACGTCTGAGCCCCCCCCCCTCCCTCCCCAACTCAAAAGAAATTTCTTCATCGATACTCTATAATAAAATTACCACCTAATTAATGTGTCTAATCTAAAAAGTGGTTTTCTTGCAATTTCTTTAATGCAATTCTTTGGGTAGTGGCTAAGCGCGACACCAGTGTTTCTTTTAGACTTTTTCCTCCCCGGAGAGGGGTGGGGGTACTTGAAATTTTCGGGGGCGGGTGTAGAATTTTCGGTGAGGGGGCGGACACTAGAAAAAGTATATAATTATATTTCGTTGAATGGGACCGTAGACATGTTTTTTTAGGGGGGGTGGGTGGGGGGTGGGGGGGGGGGTGGTGTGTGTGTGTGTGGGGGGGGGGTGAGTGGGGGGTGGTTTTAATTTAGACTTTTTCCTCCCCGCAGAGGGGTGGGGGTACTTGAAATTTTCGGTGGCGGGGGTAGAATTTTCGGGGAGGGGGCGGACACTGGAAAAAGTATATAATTATATTTCCTTGAATGGGACGGTAGACATGTTTTTTTAGGGGGGGGGGGTGGGGGGTGGGGGGTGGTGTGTGTGTGTTGGGGGTGGTGTGTGGGGGAGGGTGGGGGTGGTGTGTGTGGGGGGTGGGGGTGGTGTGTGTGGGGGGTGGGGTGGTTTTAGTTTAGAGAAAATAGACAGCACTATCAACCTAGCGCCCGGTGTATCCTTCCTCAACGGGCCATTTTTCTCGTTTTTAAAATACTAGTGTTCCAAGAAACCCTAGGTCCGTGTTTGCGCTACTTAGAAACTGACTTGACTAAAATTTATGTAAGTAGGTCGCGAACGCGGGATGTTAAGACGCTTAGGCAGGGATGGGAGTGTAAGAGCGGATCAGGGGCGTATCAACCATTTAACCAACGTGGGCAAAATCCACCATCGTCCATGTGCGGTCTGTTTTGAGTAACGCTTCAAGTTTTTCTTGAATGGAAACTAGAGGGTGGTTTTGCTTTACACCAGATCTAAAGAGACCATATTGTTGATTCTCTGCAGATAAAAAGAGCTATAATCTTAAATATTTAAAAATGAATTGCAAACTATTTTGTATTGTATTTTAAATCTTAACATTTTTATTACTATAATTTCAATAATGAAAATAACTATTTGTGGCATGTTGCAGGCTCGTTTAGTATGCTTCATTTGTATACCAAAGTCTAATTCTATTAGTAAGTTTAATTTGTTAGTTATATTTACTGTAATAAGCTGTCTTGCTTACAATAACTAGCATTTACGTAGTGTATACATGTAGACTAGTAATAATCCATACTTCTGCATAAAGTATAGATCTATATGGTAAATTTCAATCAGTAAACAGAGAACAGTAGGCCACTACAACTATCCTAAACACATTGAGCTCACTTCTATTTTTGAACTTTACACTGTAGTGTAGACTTGTCATAACATTCTAGTAGGTTACAATTATACTAGTATTACTAATAGTTGTGTGCTGAATGACAAGGCTTTTGTTTATTTATGCGGCTCATTGTAATAGCTATTAGAAGCTTCCAGGAAAAGCATGTTCAGTCCGGCAACTGTTGCTACACCAGAAAGACCACAGACAAGAATAAGCGGAGCATGACATGTCGGCAACGTTTGCTGTGTTTGAGATCTAAGATGTGTTCCGATAGAAAATCCAGTAAAAATCGTACTCAAAATTAACTTTTGTGCTGTATTTATGTGTGAAAATTAAAAAAAAAATGATTGTTATAATGATTGCCATGTTATTAGTTAATAAATTGTATCGTTTTTTCCTGTTCCGTATTTTTTGGGGGGGAAAATGTCCTTCATTCCTGACGGTACTTATAAGTACCAATACAAGTTTGTATAATTAAAAATGTATGAAACGAAATTTCCTTTGATATATGCTTGAAGTGTGCCAAAAGCAATATGATATCAGATAGTTTAAGAACATATTTCAATGTAATGCATGTAATTTTAAACTTATCGCGGTTAGCAGTTTTGTGTAATGGTCTTTCCACTTACCCTAAAAACTGGCGACTCCCATGCATCCACTCTCCCTTCAGTGGAGAGCCTGGCTAAGCCTATTGAAATAAAGTATAAAAAGTAGCTCATGCTAAATTTTTCATCACAAAAAGAACCTCTTGTGTGTGACGACTAGCCTGCACGCCTGCACTATATCTGTTGTTTATACAGATGATTGTCCTCTTGAAATATATTTTGTCAACCCAAGTACCGTGAGTAACACAATAATGTTTAATTAATTTGTTCAGCTAGACCTCCCTCTCTACTAAATTATCTGCCCCTAATAGCCGTCACTTATTCGAACCAGCTCTGCTATTGTAAAAATCCGAGATGAACCACAGCCACATGACAGTTGGGATGAGGATGGTGGCTAAGATTCGTGGTGTCTTCCATGGTCCCCATGAAGAGAATTATATATATAGATAAAACAATAAGGGATGGCAACTTGGGATATAGACAAGAGTTTAAATTAATTTTTAATTACTAAAACTTTATAAAATATTATAGAAATTCGTATAAAAAACAGAATTCCACACCAAGTGAACGCAAAAGAAAATGTGTATAACAGTGCGGAATATTATTAGTACTTTATAAATTCACTTGCTTTATTTTGGAAATCAAAAAAGCAAAAATGACTACTTCCGGTCAAACGGAAATTACTTAAAATTGACAGAAAACAGAATTAGATCTTTTACTTACAAGTGAAATTTCATTTAGCTATCTCAAATAGTACTCAAGTTATAGGCTTTTGAAAAATTCAAAGTAGAAAAACTTCCACTTCCGTTTATCGAAAATCGCGTACAAGTTGCTACTGATCTAAAAATTTGATATAATACTTGTATGTGTAATTTCATCTGGCTAGCTTTAACGGTACTCAAGTTATCGTTTTTACAGACACACACACACACGGACACACACATATTCACACACAGAGACATACGGACAAGATTACAAAAAAATTTCCGACTCAGAGAGGTGTAAAACGTCAAGATTTGCAAAAATCTCGATTTTTTGCACGATTACTATACTTTATCTCTACTTCGTATATACGAGAAAGTTAAAAATGAAGGAAAATGTATTTCTTTTATAATCCGATTTTCTTATGCAACAATGGTGTACGGCGGTGTGTACTTGGTCTACTCTCGGTAATAGTGTCTTAAACTCCCACTTTATTAGAGCCAATAGACGATGACAGAACATATATTATCGCTGGATGTAGTATCTGACGAACAGAAATACCATGTTTGTCAAACAATGACGAATTGAGTCAAAATATATCAATTATCTAAGTGTGCATACATGTATAACGGAAGTACATCCAGGTCGAACATTCATTCATCATACATTGAATTTATACCACTTTGATGGAACAGCTAATAGTGATACAAGAATATTGATCATCAAGTGAATATCAAGATTTACTGTGACATACAAATCTAGTTTAAGAAGCTTGGACATATGACAGACGGTGTTCTATCATAAATCAACTGGGGATGTATCTAGATTTACCATAAAGACCAAGTAAAAATTAATTACTTTGAAACAAAAACAGGTATAAAAACAAAATTAATAATGGAGTTTTTTTATTAAAGTATTTTAGTCTTTCAATATTTGATATCAATCTTTGGATTTTAGCTTCACATATCTCATCAAATTCAAGAATACAAGGAATGTGTCTAGAGCAACGGATAAACTAGACTTAAGCCAATTTTTGTTTGGCGTTGATTGTAGTTCTAGCTCTATTGAGTTTCTAGATCTAGAATTTAAGCCAATAATGTGATTTTTACACAACTTTAGTGCGATAGCTCATCGATAGTGAAAACAGCGTCAGTCTTTAGGATGCTGTAAACATATTTATATACACACACACACATATATATATATATATATATATATATATATATATATATATATATATATATATATATGTGTATATATATATATATATATATATATATATATATATATATATATATATATATATATACATATATATATATATATATATATATATATATATACACATATATATATATATATATATATATATATATATATATATATATATATATATATATATATATATATATACTAATTCAAAAATTAATTTATATCAGTGATAATAATTTTAATAGAGGGGTCTATTCGGGGGATGTAAGCCCCATAAATTCCCACACCAACCCCGTTAGTCCGCCTACGTCATTGCCAAAGCTTACACTAGCAATAAATATGGGAACTGGCATTGGATCTTAAAAAATATTTTCAATACTTTTATTGAAATTCACTTTTTTAATTTTACGTGCTAATTTTGAACATATTCAAACAATACAAATCATTTTTTGTTAACAAGGAGGGTACACAATATAATTAACATAGCTAGTGCTTGCAATAATAATTCATTTATAATAAAAGTATTTTTTTTCCTACAGGCTTTACATTAAAGATGCTTTTTACTGTAACGGCTGTACTATTTAGTCTGTTGGCTTACGAAGCTGTTGTTGGGTGTAAAACTTCAAAGACGTCTTCAAAGACGTCTACACGTTTTTTGTGGTTATCAGAGTGTAGAACAAAAGGCGATGAGTTCGTCTCGGGTTTCAATAGAAGAAGTTGGAAAAACAATCCCTTTGAAATCTTAGAAAATGCTGAATGCAGCACTCGAAACTGGCCTTGGAAAAACTCCACAACTCAAACTGTGTACGCTGATTGGTCAATTTTAAAAAGCGACCGCTCCTGGGCGAATTGTCCAGCGGGTTATTTCCTATCCAATATGAAAGGCCAAAAAAATAGCAATGGCCATTTACATAATATTGAACAAGGAATATGCTCCAAGCCCGCAGACCACCCGCCATACTACGGACACTGTGAGCACGTGATTATCTCTGATTGCTCTAAAAACAATTACTTATGTAGATGTAACAACGACTACTACGTCGCTGGTATATATCGCGGTACTTATAATAAACTCTACTGTCTAGAGAAACTGCGGTGCTGCAAGACTGCAGGGGGAACTGAAGAACTAGACGAGCTGTACAAGGTGAAGACTCGCATCATGGACACTACGATGTCGGACATGGCTAATCTGGCTCATTATATGGGCTACGGCTGGTGCTCGGGTTGTAGAGCAGAGTATGTTGGAGAAGATTTTAGAAGAAGTGGCGACATTTGGAAAGCTGATACAAGTGGACGGTGTGAGGGCGTCAAGAGTTATGAACGTCTAAAGATGGCCTATGGTGACTGGAGCTTTGGGATAAAGGACATCAAGTATGGAACACCTGTGATACAAGACTTAACTCCCGAAACGATAGACTTTGGTACCATATATAACAATGACCCGACTGATGCCACAAAAATTATGACGAGATATGAGACCAGTGTCCGTAGCGTCACCCACACCACAACAAGTTCTTGGAAAAACAGCGACGAACTGAATGTCCAGGTGAGCTACACACCACCTTCAGCAACAGGAGGTGTCGGAGTGTCTGTCGGCTACAAGTTCAACTACGAGACCAGCACCACAACTTCTGATGAGACCAAGAAAGAGCAGTCAAAAAACTTTTTAGTCAACACAGAAAAAACTTTCAAACCGAAGTCCGCTTCTAAATGGAGCCTCGTCCTTTCTAAAACAAGAACCTCTGTGACCTACACAGCCACTGTTATAGCAAAATTTACATGTGAACTTCAAGGTTTTCTGCGTTGGGGTGGAGGATCACACGGTAGATATACCAACTACCATTACCAGTATCTTGGTAGCGAAAAGCGTCCCACCTTTCACTACAGATTTGGTGACTCCAGCATTCCCTTCTACACAGCCCTGAAACGACTAAGCGAAACCAACTCGCAGCCTTGGTTGTGGAATGACATAAAGAACGCCCACCCGTCGGCACAAAATTTAATCGATAATTTGTGTAATGAGAGCAGGTACATCTTCAAAATAACTGGCAGGTTTGATGACGTCATTGGCAAACACGCCGAGTTCCAATGGGAGCCTGCTCCGTTACGCAAGCGATCAGCCGACCGTGGCAAGGACGTGCCGGATGTCATACACCAGAACTCCACTCACGTCGCCATGGCTCTGCCTAACGATGTTCCACTGGTGAAGCTTGAGCCTCCTAAGGTCAACATCGAGGTCGTGAACCAAGCTAAGATTGAGAACCTCGAGTTAACTGGTTCTTAGTTATATACATGGGAAAATAGATTAACTACAGATCATACATGTCGTACCTTAGTTGTTCACTTTATACTATTTAATTGTAGGTATGATAGGTTAGAGCCACTTTAACTAGAGGTATTTTACAAGGGTTTAGACATTAGTTACAATTAGTGACGTAAAGACCGGGGTTAAAGATTGCTACATCACATTTTTATGTTTTATTTTATTTTATTTAATCAGTATATTTAAATTCCTATTTTAATTTTTTTTTGAAAATAAAGTAAAAATTACCAATATAAGCTACCGTATCTGAATTCAAATGTGTTAATATATCAGAAAGAAGTAACGTGTTTCTTAAGGAAAGGGAGACAAAAACGTGGTTTTTAGCCGAGGGTTTATGATTTTTTTTTAAAAAGATAAATTCCATGGATAGTTCGCTATAATTAATTCGATTTAAGGAGGAAATTAAATTAATTTCAAAATAAATATATTAAACTATTTTTTTTTATAATTGTCTACATTTTTGAAAAAAAAAACATTTAAATTTATAACGTTACAGCCAGCCCTGCATATTTTTATATAATCGTTACGTATAGTAATAAAACTGCATGTGCAATGCGTTCAACAGGATTTGTGAATATTTAATTTTTTTATTAAAATTCTATATGTAAATAAGAACATCTGAAGAAATATAAACGCTATTGCAAAATTTAAACGGAAACATAAACACTAAAATAAACCCAAACAACAAAACGCAAACATGAATAAAAACGTAGAACTTAATGCAATTACAAAAATAAACGCAAAAACTCATAAATGCACACATACATAAATATGGAAATGTAAACACGGGGATAAGCGCAAATAAAAAACTCAATTCAAACAAAACGGAAAAAATAACGTAAACGGAAACATAAACGCTAACATAAGAGCAAACGACACAAACACATATATAAAAGCAAACATAAAAACAATTTAAAAATAGATGCTAACGATAACAGCAACGGTAATATAATGGTAAACATAAAATAAGCTAATATAAACGCAAATATAAACACCAACTTAATCGCATATTTAGAGGAAAACAATCTCAAATAATAACGTAAAAAAGGCAAACACAAACATAAAAGCAAAATTACACTCAATCATAAACATTAACGCAAAGACAATAATAAAAACAAACTTAACATAAACGCAAACTGAAACGCAACCTTAAATGCAAACATAAAAAGAAACTTCTCTCCCACTGTCACACATCATCAAAAAAAGCCAGACCCCCATATCAAAAAAGACGTCAGACCTTATGTAACATGGGTCCGACCATATTATTCATTTTATATGCTGAAGACACAGAAAAAGGTGAACTCTACTTCACCTGCACCGTGTCCCGACATGTCCCGATAGGCAACTTTCTCATTCACATCTATAACAAAAATGGAAAAAAAGAAATGTAACATTGAAATAATGTCTGCAACCCGTAGCATCCGCATGGTAACTATAACACTGTCATCTCGGCCTGCTGGAAACATACAATATTCATGTTTTAAAATAGGGCTATAATTTGTATGTATCTATTGTTTTTATTAGCCATGTGTGCTATACTCTATCAAAGGCCTTTTGTTGGCCCATACTTAGTATTGCTAACTGGGTGTTTTTCTATAGTGTATAAAGTCCCTCATCAAATGGGTGTGATTTTTTATGTTTCTACCCTTCAGGCTATATTGTTGGTCTTGGTATATTATTTTTTCTATGACGGGTTCAATCTTCTTTACTAATGTTTTTGTCAATCTTTTATAGTCACTGTGTTAAGAGAGAAATGAATTGTAGCTAGTTACTTTAGTTCTGTCTGAGTCAGGTTTTGGGATTAGGGTGATATATGCTCTGTTAAAATCTGTATGTGGCCTGTAAGATCGATAACATATATTTTTTGAAAGTTTTGTAAAATTCATTTATTAAGCCGTCTGGTCATGGAGCTTTATTTAGTTTTAAGTTGTCTATTGTCTTCGCTGTGTTGTCTTCAGTTATCGGATTATTAATGGCCTCGTTTTGTTTGTCTGTTATTCTCCCCGCGTATTTGACTTGCGTGTCAATTTCGATGTCTTCTTTTTCAAAAAGTTGTCGGTAGTAGTCCAAGAAACGAGTTTGTACTGTCCCTTGGTCTGTGGCTTCTGTGCCTTCGTCATGTTTTATGCTTTTTATTTCTTTGTCGTGTGCTTGTATTTCCTCTAGGGTGTTGCTGTGATGCGAAGGTTCTTCAATACCAATATTGTCTGCCTCTAACTAGGGCACCTTTGTACTTATGTACTTGTGTACTTGTAATGTTTCTAGTTGTGTTTGTATGTCGTTTATGTGGTTCCTAGTTTATGATGAGCAATTCTAGATAAGTTTCTAAGTGTTCTTCTATGCGCTTCCTGTCTATATTTATCTGTTTTGCTATTTTCTTAGTTGTCTCCATGCTTCGTATTTTTATGTCTTCCCATTCTTCTAAGATGTATTTGTCGGGGATTGTTAAAGCTTTTTTGCATTTTCTGTGGGCTATACCTAACGTTTGAATATGGTAGCAACATCACTTTTGACGCTTTTTGGGTTTCTGGTGATTCTTCTGTTAGTGTTGCAACAGAGTCAGTATCACTCATGAGACCCTACTCTTTTATACAGTCCTCCTGTGCGCTATTTGGCGGGTCTTCAATTGGGTCTGGGGGGAGGTACAAGGTAGCTGCTGGGTTGTTGGGTGCCCTCTCTTGTTGTACTGCGTGGCTTTCCTCATTATCCGTGTTAGTTTGATATGGGTGTTCAAATATTGTCACATCTCTTCTCGATTCCATCACGTGTATGGGGTTTGGAATGGAGGTTTTTGAACCCCGATGGGTCCCGTCATGGTAAAATTTAATGTCTGCCGATCTATTCTCATTATCTGAATCATCGTCTGACAGCAGAGAGTTTTCTGGGACTGGTTTTTTTTTTTACTTCTTTCTCCGTAATTTTTCCCTTGTTCTTTTCCCTTTCATTATTTTATCGTCATCTTCCTCCTCTGAGTCTGTCTCTTGAATTGTTTGTGGATTTGATTTGTTTCTATTCCTCGCTTCTGCTCTTTCTTCAGAAAGGAGTGGCCATCCGTCCCAGGTTTGAAAATATCTGATACCTCTACTATTTATTTGCGTTCTCATTTCTACTCTGTTATCATATGACCATTCTTCTGATGTATTAAATTTACCATTCCTTAGTTTGGTTGCATCCACCACCCTACAATACAGGTTTTCACACTGCCGCGGCATTTGTCTGCCTGTGTTGAAATTACAGCAGATGGAACGCCTGCCTTCAAAAAGAAAAGCCATAATATGCCAATCTCCTTTGTTATTGAATGAAAGGTAATGTGGCAGGTTTTCAAGTTTGCGATCCGGCGTCATGGATAATTTTGCTACATTACCTTAATCCGTCAGTCTCACATATGGTTCAATATCTGGCTGTGATACTGCTTTAAGCAGGTTTTATAATTCTTCTTTATTATAGCCTGAATGGATGCATCTCGTTATTCCCCTTTCCTCTTTCTTGTCTACTTGCATCGTTGAAATTAAATATATGGGAAATGGCCGATCCCTCCATTTTTCGTTTGCCATGCTCTACCATATGTAGTTTCTGAAACGAATTGTTAGATGAGAGTGTTACATACCATGTCTTTACGTCGCCGTAGTTGTAAACTCGTATGACCTCTGTTGAGGGTACTCCGGTTAAGGTAACAAAATGTGTCCGGAATGTTTCATGTGGCATTCCTGCCACAACAGTCGCATCTACGATTCTGACTTCCAAGGTTCTAGGAGAGTTCTTTCCTTCTTGGAAAGTTTCGTCCTCGACCTCTAGAAAGATACCCTTCATGATTTGTGCTAGGGCCTGCATGGCCGTCATCAACACTAAAATTAAAGAGAGTAAAAGTATCTACAATAACTTAAACAATGCTTAAAATACATTCCACATATGAATAATAAATCCGCAAATGAAAACGAAAATCACAAAAATCCCTTTCACGTGAGACAGCTGTCTCTCTTGCAGAGAAAACGGCCGGGACGATTTGGAAGATCACTGCAGGCTAGGCTAATAAAGTTCAATTAAAAAAAAAAAATTTTGAACACTTTTATTTTTCAATTTAAAACAAATACAATAAAATACCACGTTATTTTGGGTGGATATTTACAAGGTAGTTACATTGATGTACAGAGTATAGTAAATAAATAGCGAAATAAGTAAATGAATACATAAAATACATTGAATTTAAGCTTGCTGGTTGAAAAATTAGACAAAGGCTGGTTTTGAACTTTTTGCCAACAAAAGTGGGTGAAAAAGTATAACATATGGAAGAATAGTCGTAAACAAAGCTGGTTCCCATGGATTTCATCCCATTCTGTACAATAAACATAGTAAATACAAAAGAAATATGAATACAAACGAGTCCAAACTGTTGGGTTGGGCGGGGGGGGGGATTTCACTTTTTTTGTTACTTATGTACACAGTAGAGTAGTCACACACACACACACACACACACAAACACACAAAACATAGTTGTTTTACACAGATTTCATTTACGGTTGTACAATAGTGAATTCGAAAAAAAGATAAATAAATTAATGAATAAATATTCGAAACTGATGTTGGGGTGGGTGGTGAGGTCGTTGAAACAGTTAAAAGGGATGTAGGGTTATCGTGTCTGAGGGTGATGTGGGCAGAGGGGGGAGGTGGGGTTAAAGGTGTCTGGCGAGGCATGGAAAGAGTGTCTGTGTGTAAGTTCAATTATTTTTTTAAAAGCCTTTATTGCACTTTAAAAAAAAAACATCAATAGTAACATATGTTACAAAATAGATTTACAATATTGCATTGTTTGTTTATAAAACAAAAACCTACAAGAGATGAATGAAAAATGTATAAATGCAGGCACAAAGCCCAGTTGAAAATAGGTTGTATGTGTAGTCATAAAGATGGAAATGAAATAAAAGGAAACAAAATGTAATTATGTACCATACTTTTTACATAATATCAAGATTATATACAGAATAAAACAAATACATGGCATTTTAGACATGTAGCAATATAACATGCTTTATTAAAAGTGTTCGGGGTTAGGTGGCTGCTTTTCATTACTGCATTCAGCAAAACGGTGAACAAAGGTACCAAATCTCATGAGGCAGTTTTTACCTGGTGAGATGAGGATTACATAAAATAATGAAGCATTTCTAAGATATTGTGAGCTTATACAAATAAAATTCCAACAAATTTGGAGCAGCTGCCTAAGCTAAATAAAGTTTAAAATAGGGTGACATAGAAAATCCGAAGGAAAAAAAGGTACACAAGAATTGTAATCCCATAATTACCAAGATTTCCAAGAGAGACTAGTTGTCTCCCTTGAATATGAAAATAATACTTCCGGAAC